TTCATAACCGTGTGTAATAAATGTTAGCAACCTTAGAGTCTGACTTTATGGAATTAACAAATTATTAAACATCAAGACATGGAATATTACATACTTGTTAGAATATGAATACTGCAGAAACATAAGACAATATTTATAGACATGAAATAAAGGCAACATAAAACAGAAAGGATCCTCCTTGTACATTTCTACGAACCATATAAATGTACAAACTAGGGAAAAAAGTTACGTTCGATTAGTAAGGAGAAAAAGCCTTTAAGTTAGTGATAGTTTCATATTAAAACAATACTTTAGTTTGCAATAGTCTTTCTCAAAATTAAACCTTTCTTAAATAATTTCAATATATTACTATCATATTTACATAATGAATATAAACATGGAAAACTTGAAAATAACAGTTTTGATGTATCTTCATAGCTATCTAAGAACATTCTAAGTTAAAAGGCTCATGCTCTTGTGAACTCAAAGGGCTCATTAGAATAAAAACCTATGGGCTCTATCAGAGCTATTCATTTTTTGCACGTTTAGATGTATTGGGTTTATATATTTATTTCACCTTACACTGTAACATTACTTATTGTGCCTATACTCCAGCACCTTAATTATACCTGAAATTTCCTCATCCTGGCCTGTCCTCATGTTTCTGAGGAAAAAAAGTAGACCCTTGACCCTGGTTCTACAACATGGACCTTTTTAATGAGCTGTAGGTCTCATCGTAGACATTTCTCAGGTGGGCAGCACCCACTGATCACCAAATAGCAGTTATTTCCATGTGTTCAGCAAATAGCAGATGAAATTTATCATTGTACATGTTTGATAAGAAAGGGCGTTTATTGTTTATTAGGTAATATTCCAGAGAATTCATGTGAGGATGATGGTACTCAGCCCTCGAAGCCAGAAAATTGCAGCATTTTTCAACTTCATTATTAGATAAGGTGAAAGAGAAGTTATTGCACAGTGGCTGTGAACAATGAGGGGACCCTGACCTTACTAAATCAACTGCCAATGCAGTCATAGGAAGGCCAGAGAGTAACTCGGTCACTAAAGAGGTATGGAGAAAAAGGGAATTACAGTATTGAAACACTCTGGGAGCAAACAGTGGATGCTTTTCAACAGGGAAATAGGCCATTGAAGGCATTTAGTATACAGAATGCCCTTCCATGACCTTGCTATACTAAGAACATAAAATTAGCAAATTGCATTTCCACTCACCGATTATATGAAATTGTGAAAGCTCAAGAGTTATTCCAGTGGTATCAGAGGAGAGAGGAGTGGAAGTCATTTGACTGTCTGTGCTTTGGCATAAGACTATGACAGGAAAGTCACTTAAATACATTCTTTTAATTTTTGTCACTTTCAACAAACTCTCTGACAAGTAATAAAAAGAGATGAGAGCTATACTTTTTAAAATAGGACATTCGGTTTTCTAACATGTGGTTTTATTATGTCAATAAGCAACCAGGATATCTTGGTCATTTTGATATTTAAACCTAGTGTAGTGCAGCAGGCTTTCCCAATGGTTATTCCACAGAAACTGGTCCAAGTAGGAAAGTAATGCAGAAGCTGTTCTAAATTATCTTCCACATTTACAAGTGCGTGTTAGGGAGGGCAATCGGCGGCGACCACACCTATGGTGCACTTTACAAGGGTACATGTTAAATTTACTAAGTGTAGAATATAAATGTCTTAACACAATAAAAAATAAAAGTACGTGTTAGAGTATTGGATACTCTGAAAAAACGTTACAGTTAAAACCCCAGTTTGACTTTGTTTGCTGCAGAAAGTTTTATCATTTTATTTTTTGCTTATGAACTTTTATTAATACTTCTTATTAACATAAACACTTCTAGAAAATTTGAAGAAATATAGCCATAATTCACTTATTTGTTGGTAGATGCTGTGATAGCTTTTCAACCTTTGAACATGACTAATCTTTGTTTCAGCAAATCATTAATCATTCTGATATTAATTAAAAGGGAACAGCCCACAATCAAATAGCATTCCAATTTGTTATGGGAGAAAAGAACATGGCTCAACAGCCACCAAATGGGAAATATGGTAATAGAATTGAGTAGTGATAAAAAGGACAGAAGTCACTGGTAAGGATAACTATACCCAACAGGGGTTACAGTGTAATCACAAAACACATGTGCTTAATTTATGCAAATTCCAATTATATGTAAAGAGCAGAAGCTCCTGAACTTCCCTGTAATCCTGTTCACCCCCACCTCCACCTTCAACTAGACTTCAGTTTAGGAAAAGAGAGGTCAAGGTAGCAATCAAAGAAACACCAATGAAATGAAGTCTAGGCCTTCAAATACTAAATACTTTTTCAAAAGATCGTTACTGCTTTGCTGGTTAACACAAACTCTAGTTCTAAAAACTCTTAAAATGATACATTTATTATCATGGAGAGCTAAAAACACATCTATTAGTATAAAAGCACTTTTACTACCAATTATTTTTTGAAACATGCAAAATATTTTTAATGTTAAGTTTATGTATTTCCATATGTATGCCTTATTGTCAGGATGGCTTAAATACACAGTTTTGAGTTATTTTTACTATAATTTCTAAGGTTAATTTAGTTTTTATTCCCTCTGACTTTATATAGATATATATATACCCATATGTGTATACATATATATGCATATATATAAATTAATACTCAAGTCACATTTGACTTCTGCAATTGCAAGAGCTGCTCAATGTGACTTGCATTCATCTTTTGTTATCAGGACATATTGCCTATTACAATTTTAATGCAGTTTTTCCTGTTTTTAAAATGTATATACTGGGCAGCACCTGTGGCTCAGTCAGTAGGGCACTGGCCCCATATACTGAGGGTGGCAGGTTCAACCCAGCCCCGGCCAAACCGCAACAAAAAAATAGCCAGGCGTTGTGGCGGGCGCCTGTAGTCCCAGCTACTCAGAAGGCTGTAGCAAGAGAATCTCCTAAGCCCAAGAGTTGGAGGTTGCTGTGAGCAGTGATAAAGGGAGACTCTGATTCTACCAAAAAAAAAAAAAATGTATATTTTTTTGGGCACCCTCTCTCTATCTAGATAGCATATATGTAAAATATATTTCATATATATAGCATATAAATGTATATATGTATACACACATATATAAACCTTTCCAAAGTAATATCCTTATGTTATTTTTATATTAAAACTACAAAAATATTTCCAACTGGAATGATGCTTACATCAGATCTTAGAAACAAAAATAAAGGTGGTTGTATCACTGCTTTCAAGACCCATCAGCGCTGGATTACTTTTCTTGTTAACCCAACCTTACATTGACTTTGCTTTGTTTTGTGCCTTATAATATCTGTGCTTTGGGCTACAGTACCCTATGCTTATTTCTGTGAAAATCTTATTCTTTGTTTAAACATAATTTCTGCTGTTAAAGAGCTCAGTTGAATGAGTAAGTTCTTATAGAATGTTTGAGGATAAGTAAATGGGGCCAGGATCAATGAATTCACCATAGAAAGGAAAAGAACTATCATAGCCAATGTAAAAAAGGTAAAAGGACATGAATTCAGTGGTAGGTCAGAAAGAGTGAATGACCTTGAGCTAGATATTCTCCTTGAGGAGGCAAGGGATGGGCTACTGTGTTTCAAAACACACTTTTATGCAAGAGAAAAAAGTAAAAACGAAGATAGCAAGATCTGAGTTTTCTCAAGATCTATCCCAGTTGGGCCAAACGCAGAAAAAGACAAAAGAAATTGAAAGTGTTTGACCAGATAAAAGTGATTGATTTGCTAAATCTTAAAACATACCACTGTGCTTGGCAAATAGTAAGCATTCAGTAAACATTGACTGTTTATTATTATTATTCTTGTCTTTATTGTTTGGGGGGCTTCAACAAGTATTGATTAAGAAAATCAATGAATGAGTGGGCAAACGTACTTTAGGTGGCTAGTGGGGCATCTAAATCCAGCTGATGAACTGTTCTTCTTCTTTCTACTGCACCCCCCCCTTTCCTGTTTTTCTCTTTATCCCCATTTTTTCTTCTCAATTAATCTGACAAAATTTTACATATAATTTTACATACGTAAATTAAAAGCTTCCTTCTCAATCTGACATAATTTTACGTATGCAAATTAAAAGCTTTCTTCACTGTAAAAAATGCGTGACTGATTTGAATGAAATGGAAAATCATAGAAAGATTCACTTGTACCTTTGCAAGATGAACCACAGAAGTGAACCCTCGAATAACTAAGAAAGTTACATGAAGGCTATGTTAACCAGTTTGATGGAAATGTCATGGATTGTGTGTGAAAACACCACACTGGATCCCCAAAGTGCATCAATGAACACAGTTACCATTCAATAAAAAAAAAAAAGAAATGGAAAATCAGAGATTTGTTTTTAATGGAGGATAAAAACAGATGTAGAAGTCATTTTATGAAAAAGATACCTGTATTGAATGTTTATCATAGTACAACTTGCAATTGCAAAGATGTGGAATCAACCTAAGTGCCCATCAATTCATCAGCAGATAAAGAAATGTGGTGTATATATACAGCATAGAATACTACTCAGCCATAAAAAAGAAATGAAATACTGTCTTTTGCAGCAACCTAGATAAAACTAGATTAACCTAAGTTTAGCATCTTGGGAATGGAGAAACAAACACCACATGTACTCGCTAATATTTGGGAGCTAAATAGTGGACACACACAGGCATAATGTGAAGTAAAAGACAGTGGAAATCAAGAAGTGAGGAGGATGGGAAAGGTACGAAGGATAAAAATTTACGTACTAGGGACAAATGAACATTCTTCTAGTGAGGAGCACACTGAAAGCCCCAACTTCAGGTAGCGTGTAACAAAAATGTTTATACCCCCTTAACATTTTGAAATAAATAAATAACCGTGATAGTAAAAATTACAAAAAAAAAATTGAGAAAGAAAAGAATTAGATTAACTCTTGCTTTATCCAGCTTTCAAATGGTTTCTGTGTTTGTTTTGTTGTTTGTGTTTTTTTCTTACAGAATGCCAGAGTCTCCTGGTGAAGTTCCTGAATATCCTTTATTTGTCACAGTTGGTGACTGGCTGGATTCTATAAAGATGGGGCAATATAAGAACAACTTCATGGCAGCAGGGTTTACAACTTTTGACCTAATTTCAAGAATGAGCATTGAGTAAGTAGTATGAGGCTTATTACTGTAATTGGATACTCAGCGTGTGAATTTATAATCCCCTGAGCAGTTTCAAGAACATCTTTCCTTAGACCAGTATGTAATTTCCAAGTCTTTCCTCGCCATTTCTATCATTCTAGTGGAAGTTGGATATTACACATTGAGCTATTATTTTTCGAAGGAATATACTGATTTCAAATAGCTGTTGAAAATATTTTAAGTGCCTTCTAAAATGCCTAGTACTATTGTCCACATCATAGACTTTATATGTGCATAGTTTTACCCTGGCAGATTATTTATTACTCACATATACTAATATTGCATAATCAATTCCTATTACCTTCATCAAATCAATGCAATATTGTCATGTCATTTCACAGCTCCTTCTATATATCATAATGGCCAACCATTTCCTACTGTCTCAAAAATTAGCCTTTTCCTAGGCACAATGAAAATGTTCAACATGGGCTTAAAATACTAGATACTAAAGCAATTAGGTTGAGCCACAATAAATTGCTATCGTATGAAGACAGAAATGGCAATTTTGTACTGCTCAACATATCGGCATTTTTTTTCAGATTTTATGGAATGGCCACGAAAAATCAAATGGACTTCACATATACCTTCCACCCTACTTACTCACCATTTTGCTAATACTATTACAAATTTCTATAATCTTGTTTTACACGTATAGCCTTGAGGCCTATGAAATGTCTGACTATTACACAGATACCTGGATATGAAATATGTCCTTATTTCATTAAATTTGAGATTAACTTGATGTATTCCTCAGAGACGGAGAAGAAAAAATAACAAACCCTTGCTGTTCATTTTTAGCTCTGCTTTAATAATTAAGCTACACAGTTTTGGACAAATGTGACCTAGTGAATGTTTAATATCTCTAAATATTCGCTTCTCTCTTGCACTTACAAAAATCTAAATATTCATATCCATCTTCTCATTCTCTCTCTCTCTCTTTTTCTCTCTCAGTGATATTAGAAGAATTGGAGTCATACTGATCGGACACCAGAGACGAATAGTCAGCAGTATACAGACTTTACGTTTACACATGATGCACATACAGGAGAAAGGATTTCATGTATGAAAAGTACTAAAAAGCACCTGTGTTTTGTGCCTCAGCATTTCTAGAATGAAAGATACCCTTTCTACTACCCTCTCTTAGGACTCTTCAAACATCACTTCACAAACTGCTGTCTTCTGTTCAGACTATAGGCATACACCTTATGTTTATGCTTCCAACCTGGATTTTAAAATCATGCTACATAAGGCCTCTCTGAATAACCTGCAGATAAAACCCTGGCCCACTTGCTACATAATGGTAAATAACTCAGCATGGATGTGTAACTTTGTATAGCAATATAGGGGAAGTGTTCTTGGACTTACCCCAAAGGAATTTATCTAGGTGTGGTTTCCTTCATGATGTCTCTAGAGTGTGATGACAAAAGAGAGAGAAATAGTTGACCTTTCTTTTATGTTTTGTGCTCCAGTAGCTTCCAAATTGGCACAAATGTTTGTTTTTTAGGTAGTTATATTTACCTGTATGGGTTTCATTGTTACTTTGTTTTTTAATAGTTTAACCGGTGGTGCCTGATGCTGTAGAATTATTTGCAGAAATGACCAGTGATAACATGTAGTGAATTTTTGTCAGATGTGACTGTGGTGAGAAGGGGGTTATTAGGGAGGGATAGAGATAAAAAATACTGTGCTTTTAAAGTTTCTAAGCCTGGGTTTGCCATTTTTTAAATTACTTTGAAAGTGTCCTACATATTTCATAGTAGGTGGTGGTTTAATGGCTTTTCCCCTCTAGTAGTTTTTTTACTAACCATAGCGTATTTGTCTACTACCTTATGAAGAGCACCCCAGAAAGAGGCGAATTCATTGCTCTAATGGTTTTTGTGGAGGGAAGCTTGGGATAAACTCATGACTATTCTTTCGGTTCAATGTCCCAAAAGTAATTATCAAAGCACTGAGAAAATGCGTTATTCTCAGTAGAACTACTTTGAATAATATATATAAGATTATAGCCTGAGATTTAATGTAAAATAATTAAGTTAGTTGAAACAGAATTTTGTGATATCTCTATGGTGGCCCAAGAAAATAAATACATCTAGCTGGCTGTCATTGGTATAATACATTTTGCAAGGTTAATAATTCTTACATTTTGTTTGCAAAAAAATAAGTTACATGAACATGCTGAGCTGTTTTCCAAACCTTCCAAGAAATTAGTGTCAACCTGGGTCCATAATACAGTTACATAAAAATGTGAACACAGCTATGGTGTGGTGGTGTTATAATCTTCTCAGAGGCTGCAAAAATAGGCAAGTCTATTTCTCGGTGAATTAAGCTGAGTCAGCTTACTGCAATAATGCTATCTGATAAAAAAAATTATAAAATCAGCTGCTCTCTATAAAACAAAAATAAATGACTACTGTGTTAGAAAGAGTAAAGAATATTAAGAGAGAAAAAAACACAGAGCAGGTTATCTAAAGAATCAGCTTTTACTGGATCTCAGAGATAAAGGTGCTCGACCCACATTCTCAAATTCCTACCTAAATTACATTTTTTTGGATAGTAGTATTCTTTCTGTTAAAGGAGTCTCACTTTTTCTTTTTTCCTTATTTTTATATTGTGTTGTCTCATCATACTAGACCCCCTTGCATATTTTCTTTTGCTGATTTATCTTCTGGTTTTTGCCTACCACAGCTTCTTAATTTTTCTTATTTCAAAAAAAAAAAAAAGTGTAGAAGGCTGAAAGGAAGAACCTTGAGAGTATTTCTTAAAGTATACTAGAAAAGGAAAAAGTGGGAAATCCATCACTTTTTAAGTAAGTGTGTCAGAAATAGCTAGAACATTTTTCAGCCCTCATCCTGCACAGTGGTGCGTCACTCACAGACTTTCTGCAGTTTGCTTGATACATTTACACAAATCTGGATACATTTAGGGGAAATATGAAATTTCCATATTACCTACCTTCAAATATATATTAAAGAAGAACAGATGTAAAAAAGATTAAATTTATTAATCATATATATTTATTTTTATAATATAAAAAAGGTATTTAGAAAAATAAGGAATAGAATAACATGGTCCTTGAGAGGACTCTGTCAGCAACATCTGTATACATTGATGAAATAAATTCTGTTCAAGTATTTAAACTTCTTTGGGGTGGGCATTCAATGACTGCAAGATTAAAGTTCTCTGTTAACAATTTTTTTCTTTATAAAGCCTGAGATCCTGTCTGTACCTGGTTAATTTGTATTTTTTTTCACTTCCCTCACATCTGATTATGGTGTTATAAAACTACCTTTTCACTTTGTCTCTCATCCCATAACTCCTTCAAAATTTCTTTTAAAGGACATTTCCGTTTCTCAGAACTGTAAGCATAATGATCTGAAGTGTAATTTTGAACCTCATCATGGTCACAGCAAGGTTGAAATATGTGTGCAAGATTAAACAGAAACATTAAAACATAAGGATATCTATTTCTTTACTGCCGACTAATCATGTACACCATGATACCAGGAGTATTATAATATCTAGGAATATTAACAATTAAAATGCCAAATTTATTTGGAAATTTTACATGAAATATTTTGAGATTTATGGGTGGACATATTTAGTAATTGAACCCACTTAATATGCAAAAGCATAAAACTTAATTCTACTAAGAAAATAAGTGAGTTCTATAAATCACAAGTCTTCAAGAGTAATCTTTGATAACTAAAACATACATATACATTCCTGGACTGCTTTATTTTAAATTTCTTAATCCATATACCATTGAAAAGTTTCTTTTAATTTTGAATTCAGACAGTTGAAACCATTTTCATTTCATTTTCTCTATAGTCAATTTCTAGTCTATAGTGAATTCAGTATCCATAATATAAGGCATATTTGGAAACATGTAAAAACAATGTACAATCAAGGAGAGAGAGAGATGAAATATTTATATCATTAAACTAAAAACGTTTTTAGAAATTTTGCAATTAGCAATTGCAAAACCCTTGGCTTGACAAAAATCAAGAATTACAGCACTTTTGCACTGAGTGATAACTACTGAGAAGTATACGTGCTATAATTTTTTTTAAAAGATACATTATTTCACTCTGCATTACTTTATAAAATCTAACCAACAATTACCTGAATGAACTGTCATCTAGCTCCAGCTTTAAGGCCAGTCTCAGACTATGAGTGAAAAGCAAATCCAAATCTAGTCCCTTAAAAACAAAGAACTTCTTCATAGAAGTTCTTCTGAAGATATAGTGAAGAATAAACTACATTCCATATCACCCAACCACATTTCCTAAGAATCTGTTTTCATGTCTTCTCCTACCAAATTTCCTCCTTGAAAGGCAGTTCAATCTCTTATCTCAAACTTTTCACCAGCTCTAGATTTTTTTTCTATTCTTTAATTAAATGTCCTAAAATTTTCTTTATCAGCTCCCTCTGTTAGTCTCTCTTTAATTCCCCCATTCTATCTTTTTTTCCTTTTCTTATTTTCTATCACTCCACCTGTTATCTCTATTAGCATAAAAAAAAGCAACACAGCAAATATCACAGGATTTTATTGATCTCCTCTGAAGAGGCTGCCTGGGAGGGGCAGCAAAATTATACTTCAATATTTGAGGTCCTAGCACATAAATGAAAGCATTTGTACCCCTCATAGACTTTTCCTTAACTGGAAATAAGTACTTTGGAAAGTAATTTTGAAATGGATGACAATGATCAATTTCTATAACTTTAGCTAAGTAACTTTATTATGTATTTAAAAGAAATCAGTATTTTAAAAATCAAAAACTTGTTACAAACTCACAGTTGGTGCTCATGTGTTTTTATAGCAGAGAGATGAGGAACAGGTATGTCCCTTCTTTTAGTAAGATCACCTTATCTTTTCCAAGTTCATATTCCATGAAATAGAAGAGACTCAAATGACTTCATATTCAATCCAAAAATATTTAAATGATTTTTAATATGAAGACTCCAAAAGTTAAAGGAGAACCCTGGGTAAAACTGAGGGTATTCTTCCATCAAGACACCAGGCACTGAAGACATCTAACAACTTTTGGTTTTCATGATCAACATTTTAAACAATGTTTCAGTCTTTATAATGTTCAACAAAGGCAGTGTGAACTTTATTTAGTTCCATTTAAAAGTATCTATGGAGCATCTCCGATGTGCATAAAATTTTATTACAAAGTTTGACTCTATTGTCCTAGCCCTTAAGTAACTTTCAAACTTAAAATTCAGAGGCTTATTTGCTGTTCACTGTAGTTGCCATGTCAATAGGGATTAGCTCTTTCCATAGAATATAAATAAGTAGATAGATAGATAAGAACTTGTTCAGTGTGAATGGGATTTGCAATTCCTTACAGAAAGAAATATTTTGGATCTCAAATTCTTATAGAATTCTTCCCAAATACCTCATTCTTTGGGTTCTCAAAGACAGTTTCTCCTTTTTCCTCCAAATTCTAAAATGTTAAGGAGGTACAACTGTTTTTGTTACATGGATGAACTATATAATGCTAAAGTCAGGGCTTTAGTGTGCCCTTCACCAGGAGAGTGCACCGGAATGATTATTGCAGCTCAGCTCAGTTCCGCATTGCAAAGATACGGAATCAACCTAAGGGCCGTGCACTGACGAGTGCATAGAGAACGTGTGCTCCAGTGTCTTTTGCAGCAACATGGATGGAACTGAAGACCATCATCCTAAAGGAAGTATCTCAGGAACAGAAAAGCAAATACCACGTATTCTCACTAATTAGTGGGAGCTAAGCGAGGGGCCCACACAGGCACAAAGTGATGTCAAGGACAGTTTCTCTGACTAGCAGTTGATCCCCAGCAAGAAGCACAGATTTTTTTTGTCCAGTGGCAATTCTCTCAGTTCATATATGGAATTATAACCTCAAAGGTGCCTCCAATTAGAAAACATTAGCCCTTTTTCCAAAATAATTCTGTAGTCATCTCTCGACTAGGCTAATTCACTGGTCCTAGTAAACGTAATAACAAACATGAAATGCAGCAGTTGTATAAAATCCTTTCAAACTCTATTTAACAAGGGAAATAGATGATTGCTTGTGACTATATCTGACATGTTATTATACTAAGAGAAATAACAGAAAGGAAAAAAATCTAAAAAAAAAAAAGAAAGGAAAAATCTTATATTGTAAGTAAATATCCCATCTTTCTCTTACTATTCTCTTAAAAAGCCAAATATTAGGCAGGTGTTTCAAAGCTGTCTTAGGATAAATATTAAATTTTTTTGATGTAAGGGGATGTGACATATGTCTTTGGGGGAAAAAAGATCAA